GCAATCAGGATATCAAGCTAGAGATTCCAAAAACAAGCCGTAGGTTTAAGAAGAAAAAAAATGCAAAGGAAATGGCTATCTCCAACTTTCAAAATATAAACTTTCAAGATCCTGAGGTTTTCAAACTCAATCTTAAGATTTTTGGAAATATTTGTGAACTTTGGGGATTTTTTAAACCTAAATATGCGTCAGGATTCAGGAAATGTCTTAATGCCTTTACACATGCCAAAAATCAACAAAATATCCCTAAAGCTCCAAGAGATATAGCCATTGTAAATACCATCAATATATATATATATATATATATATATATATATATATATATATATATATATATATATATATATTATAACTGATCTTAGACGGGGGGGGCGGTTGTCCCCCCCCCCCCTGAGATTTTTCGTGAATAGCGGGAAAACCGCGGCGCGTAGCGCCGCGAAATTTGGTATGATTATTTTCTCATCAATTTTACACATGGTGTGCAAGTTTGAACCTCTTAACTTTTAAGGTCAGGTCACCAGGTCACTTTGAATGACCCAACCTCAAGTCGCTTTTTTGCAACTTTGTCACCGTGTCAGAGCTACAGTAGATGTCGGAGGCCTTTGAAAGTCGCAGGATGTTATTAGGTCATTGGTAGCTACAATTTGTTTATCTCGGAATTTTGATATCGATGACCTAAGGTCAGGTCAATTTCCCGACATCTCCATTATAGGGGAGACCCGGGAGGTATGGACCGTATTTGTGAAAAGGCAATTTTCTTCCAGTGGGCAGTGGCTAGACCCCGGTTTTCACTCTGTGTACGTGAAATTGCCTTTCGCCTGCAAAGTGTGCCTGATATTAGGCATCTGCGCTCAACTATTTTGTCTCGAGATAACTTTCAATAAATCATGCGCTTTTTCGATTCATCAAAATGCACCGGGAGGTATGGCCCACGGCCGGGGAGGTATGGGCCGGTGCCATGTTGCATATTATTTTCTCGACAATGAAAACAATACTCGCAGCTGGTATCTACCTTGATCTCTCTTAGAGCCCAGGAACCGCATAAGCGGCCAACAGCTTACTTCATGGAGGTCACTTGGGCACATATGTATTTTGGTTAACTCAATCATGCTCCATGAAATAAGATAAATGATATTTTCTGTTGGAATGGAATTCGTAGTTAAATTTCCGGCCTTGCGCGACAAAAATAAAACTTATTGAAGAGGACAATCAATGAAAGCTTCAGTTTATTGATTTAGGATCACCGGGGATGGGTGGCCCGTGCCTCCCGGCTAGGACGCCAGAATGTGCGTAGCATCTCAGCTCATAATCTTGCAAGAAAGCTTCAAATTGTGTATCCAGTCTTAACTTGCATGCTTTACACTTTATGTTAGCGATGGTCTGACATCATAGAAGGAGCCTGTTTCAAATTTATCACGAATTTTCTGTATGTACCTTATTTTACTCGAAGAGGGCAAAAACGCTTCATCACCGCTCATTGCCAAAGAAGACTGAGGAAGATTCTGGAAATCACGTGGGTTGTATAACGGAATGGCTGCTACCAGTTTGCGCGGTCAAATGCGTAAAAATACGCAACACTTCTTCAAAACTGCGATGGCCCACATAGGCGGCGGAACGGGGAGGGCACCGGGGCACCGTGCCTCCTTTGATTTTGGCATTTTAACATTAGCCCTATGGGCGTTGCATGGAAAGAATGGGACCAAAAGTCGACGGTGCCCCCCCCCCCTCCCCCCTTAATCGAAGGTGTTCCGCCGCTGCTGATGGCCCATACCTCCCGGGTCTCCCCTAAGTCAATGGGGGAAAATCAACTCCCTGTTTTTTCCACTAAAACACGTCAGAATGGCCCCATATGCCATACATGACTTCATATACGATCAACCTTCACTACCTTGAGGCCTGTTTTGCTGCTGGGCAGCTGTAAGGTCCATGTGACGTCATCAAATGTCACCAACGGTTTTTACCAGTAACTCCTATCAGGAACGAGATACAGCCGCGCGGATGGTCTTATTGTGTTCAGCTCGTCAAGGCGCATCGAATGATATACATGATGACCTCGAGGTCACGTGACCTGAGGTTAACCTTTGACCTTGACCTTTCGAGGCCAACATATGTATGATTCGATGCGGATTGACGAGAGGATCACGATGATGCCCTTAGTTTGTTCCTAGCTTGGCTAATTCGAAAGTTATTCGAGAAAAACTCTCCATATCTAGCGCCGCCATTTGGACTTTTTTAGCCCTGTGACGTCATCTTTGACCTGACCTGAAAATGACCTGAGTAAAAATTGTAGGCCTTGTCCGTGCGTACCCCATGCCGTTTACCGCTTGTCGCTATCTTGCTTCGTTTTCGAAACCTCAGGGGGGCGCCCCCCCCCCCCCGTCGGTTGTAAGCTGGCGCAGACCCCCGATCGATGTTATTAACCCGCGGCAACTTTTGACCGATTTTAGCAAATGTTAACATTTTGATACTCACCAAAACAATAAAGGACGAGTCAACAAATTTGCACAGGGGAGAGATTTTCTATGGGCCCACCTACCCTGTAAAAAAGTTGCTGTATGGCAACTGTTCTAATGACGTTCTCATTTTCGAGAGGTATTTGTACTTTTTTTTTGAAAGAACAGAACCGGTGTACTTTCACATCTATGATTAAAGGTAAATTAATTTAATTAATTTACCTTAATTATTTTTGTTACGGAGCGAGCGAAGCGAGCGGAGTCTTTCCTTAGATTAACGGAAATTTCTGAGTATGAGCGGCCGACCGGTCGTGGTCACGATTTTGCGAGGCTTATATCTCAGCAACCACTTGACCGATGATTTACATGCGGGAATTTTTGTAGGGTAGCTTCATTCCTTCTACCAAGTATTGGACTATTCCCGATGCATGTGGGTGACCCCTTGTGCACGTGCCACGTGCAAAACGAAGAGGTGTCAGTTTTGTAATAGTTGCAATATCTCGGTGACTACTTGGCCGATTGCGCTGAAAGTTGGCACGTAGGTAGGCACCCACTAGGCAATGCATATCCATGTGCCAGAGTTGGGGTGCTGCTGCACGTGCGCACGTGCAGGGGTCGATTCCAGATCTCGAGAACGGCTGGACCGATTGCGCTCAAATTTGGTACACGGTTACGGAGCAGTTAGCAGGGTGCCGTGCACAAGTCAGTTGGGACCCATTTTGCACGTGCGCACGTGCAGGGTGCCGCTTCCAGATCTCGAGACCGGCGGGGCCGATTGTGCTCAAATTTGGCACATCGCTAGAGACCGGTTAGTAGGGTGCCGTGCACAAGTCAGTTAGAGGTACCCCCTCGCAATTTCAAACTGTAACACGGCGGTTTCTCGTGCCCAGGGCGGGGCGCGTCGTGTTGTTGTCAGCCCTTGCCAGAAGAGATGATCTGCCGGTCCAGGTGTATTGTCTCACGAGCACAACACAGAGCGAGATGGTCGGCTACGGTGTCGGTCGAGACCGATGCAGGTACACGCCCGGCGTGAGCGGAGGCTGGGGTCTTTCACAAGCACGCGGAGCAGGTGTTATGCGTCCGGCGGCTGTGGAGCCCTGTGGTCTTCCCGGACTGGTAATACGTCCGGCGCCGATGGTGGCTCTAGTTCTTCTCTAAGTCCCCCCCGATCGGGTAACTTCAGCAGAGCTATCCTACTCTTAGGGCGTAGCCTTCTAACCTACGTGGCAACTTACTATTGGCCAGGAGAGCATTTCATATATGGTTACACAGTTGCGATTGGTCCCTACCACGTCGGAGGCGGGAGATGCACTGCCCGAGGCTCACCCGGTACTTACTAAGTGTGACTAAACTATGATGGAATTGGACACCCTCTCGCTCGCTCCGTTAGTCGCCCCAAAAGGCGTTATACATGCTGGTTTGTACTTGTAATTTGTAAAGGGCAATGCTAATATTATGCTACTTTTACATCTCCTCTTGACTAAATATGAAGGTTGTCGTCGCTTCTACCTGATTAAAGTCACTTTTACGTAATAAAAGGTTTGTCATCGAAAACCGGTAAAATTGGACTTTTTTCGTTCCCGTGACGTCATAGGTCAAAGAAAAATGGTCGGCGAGGGTGCTGCGGCTTCAAATGTATGATTTGAAGACATCATAAATACTGAAATATTCACAATTCAGCCATGCCGTTCCATACGATTTAGGCATGTGTTTAGTGATTGGTCGAGGCTGACCTCTATCGTAACGTAACAGGTCATATCCATTAAGATGACATCCACGGGTCAGATCTATACCTAATATTCATCATATCGAAACTCATTTAAGAAACCTAGATTTTAATGACAAACTGCACATCATTATAAGTTGGACAGATTTGCTTATTTTGATCTTATGTGATGTCAAAAGTCAAAAATCGAGGTCATCGAGATTGTAACTTGTTCATCTCGATGAGATCTTCCGAATGCAGTTTGAATTTTTCCGATCCGACAATTGGTTCCGGTGATACAATGAAGAGGCCTTTGTCCCCCCCCCCCCCCCAACAGGACCTGAAACCTGCCAGACCTCAACGGGGCGCAGGTTAAAAGCTTTCAGTACAAAACCCTATCAGCGGAAATATATAGCATAAAATAATTAATTATACTGTACCCGAATGTTTGTGATCAGTTTTGTGACTTCATGAGGTAAGCTGAGAACACTGGGACTTCATACTGTCGGATAATTTGTATGAAGGATTCGCCGTACAGGTGAGATAAAACTGGGACCCCTATTGTTACGCATTAAAACCGTTAAGGCTAGACCTCGGCTCCCACGCGTGCACTTCGCGCCTCCCTCTTCCCGTTGGAATCCATGGCGTATCTTCCGCTCCCAGCTCCCAGCTCGTCCCTGCCAGCTGGGAGCGAAACATATGTCCGGCATTCCAATGGGAGGAGTCGGGAGAGAGTCGCGATTCGCGCGCGCGAGAGAGAGCTGTGTTCCAGCCTTTCTGGGCGTTGGGGAGGGGGACATCAACAAGTCAACGAGCGACGCGACTGGGCGATTTCCTCTCACTTGGCTGAAGTTTGATGACTTTGATAGCTGCCAGTTCTCCGGTGGACAGTCGAGTGGCCTGAAACAACGCCACCGTTCAGCTGCTATGTCATGCCGCCAACCAGCAACACATTTTAATCCAACAACTATTTTTTTTTTTTTTGTAATCCAACAACTATTGACTCACTGAAACATTCTCACAAATATAGGCAATATATGTAATATAGCGATAAGATAAGATAGGAAATATGCATAAACAATGCAACAAAACTTAATTTGACGCTATAATATTCATTTTTTTAAATAGGTATGTTTTCCAAACACAACACCTTTTTTTCATTAGAATTAATCTTTATAAAATCCAATTTAATCTTTGGAACATTTGTATTAAAACATGTAACATTATGTTGTATCTGTTTTAGTGCTTGTTGGAGGATCATTATTAATGTAAAAATCAAGTATTTCTTTATTGTCATGACCTTTCCTCCTTTTCAAAAATATGCTGAGCCAAAATTATATTGTTTTAGCGTTTTCAAATATATCGGCCACAGGCCTTCATCAGTGAAATATCCAAAAGGATATTTCAAAGTGAAATATCCTTTTGGATATTTCACTTATGAAGGCCTGTGGCCGATATATTTGAAAACGCTAAAACAATATAATTTTGGCTCAGCATTTTTTTGAAAAGGAGGAAAGGTCATGACAATAAAGAAATACTTGATTTTTACATGTAACATTAGTATTAATCTAAGTAAAGTTTGATTTAAAACTTATAATGTTTGTATTAAAACTTATAAAATCGTATTCAAACTTTATAAGTTTCATTTTAAACCAAGCAACCATAAACCACGAAACCGTCCAAAGGAACCGAAAACAGTTATATTTAGGGTTCTAGCGGAACCTGATTTTCGATTGAATTTTTCAGCTCTGCAGTTGTGCAGCATTGTATGGTGTTTCAAAACTGGTATCGAATTTACTATTCATTTAAGCATTTGGGGATTATTACATTGTAGGAAAATCATTGTATTTCAAATCGCTGATGCCACATGTGGCAAAGCTGTCGATAACGTTCAATAAACACATATGACTAAGATTTTGGTCGGGACGCTTGACTCCAAATGCACAAAAACATTATTACTGAGCAAGATGGTTGCTAAATTTAGAGCCAGAAGACCCAAATGGTAAATAACCCAGAAAACTTATCTGTAAAGTTGCAGCATTAACGCCGTTTGACCTGGAGATGAATGTAAAAAAATGACACGAAGGGAGGGATCGCGGGCTTCTTCTGGTGACGAGCAATACACTCGCTTTTTCTAGAAACTCTAGGACGATCAGGGGCTGAACGGCTGCAGACCTATCTATCCCAACATTACCTTTGTGGCTCTGAACACGCCAATAGTGCTTAATTTTTCATATACAGTTAATCAACTGTTTCCGTTTACGTTTATCCAAGTCATTTGCAATGTTCCAAGGCAAGCAGTTATGGAGACTGGAGTCCTTTCTTTCCTTTCCAATACTAAGTAATAATTCCTTTAATATTTAACTTCCACTTTCCCTGTTAGGAAGGTTGTGAACATGAGATACAGGTTTATACGAGAACAGTGAATCCAAGCACACGTTCCACTCCAACCCACGAGTGGACTTACGTACTTGTGGATTCCTAAGACGGCTTTGCGATGCATGTGTGTGTGGTTTAAAATGAATTTTATAAGTTTCGTATATCGTTGAGAGCTGCTGCGAGGAGCATGATAAATGTAGGAAGTATCATTAGAATATATGACCTTCTCCTCGGAAAATGACCAAATGAATGAAAATGCTTATTTATTGATGAATTGATGATATTTCGGTCACAGACCTTCGTCTAAATCGAATTCGTTAAATCGTACAAGGCAAAAGTAGCGAGCTACTTTTGCCTCGCTACTTTTGCCTTGTACGATTTAACGAATTCGATTTAGACGAAGGTCTGTGACCGAAATATCATCAATTCATCAATAAATAATCATTTTCATTCATTTGGTCATTTTCCGAGGAGAAGGTCATATATTCTAATGATACTTCCTGAATTTTATAAGGTTTAAATAGGACTTTATATGTTTTAAATCAAACTTTATAAGTCTGAAAATGAACTTTACATAGATTAATATGAATGTTTCATGTTTTAAATCAAATGTTTCAAAGATTAAATTGAATTTTATAAAGATTAATTCTAATGAAAAAAGGTGTAGTAAAAGACACAAATATGACTGTCTTTGCGGTCTGTGACTAAAGCCCGGGGCTTAAAGGGAGTGTGCCACCTTCCAATGATTTCCCATTTTATTTTTCCTAGGATAAGAAGCTTCTGTTTTTACTTAATATCGCAAAAAAAAATCGAAAATGGGCCTGGAATAGTGCTTTTTTTCGCCTAAAAGTTTATCGGTTTTTCGATATGTATAACAACTGTAGTGGGCTGACCTGCAAACAGGCGTCGGCAACAATCGCGAATGCGGCGCACATGTGACAATAAGCAAAGGTCATTATAGAGTTACGACGTACGGGAATGAGTTATCAGCTGTCTAATCGTAGACAACACAATGTCGAACTTAAACTGTAAGCCTGTGTTGGTATTGTTTCTTTAATTTGGCTGTGGAACATTAATTTATGGTTTGAAATATCATTTTATGTAAAATAATTGATATGAAACAGCCGTCTCTTAAATTATGACCCCATCTCACCACACGAAAGTGGCAGAAATGGCCGAAATCAGAGCGCGCGGCCCGATGCACCACCACCGCACCACAAAGTATGAGCAGAAGCCACCTAACAGGCGTGTTCGAAACCGCAGGGGATGATGATGAACGGGTTTATCGAAACTTGATTAGATGAGCCTATCAGTAATGGCGATTTTAGTGTGTGCATTTATTGTTCATAGTGGTGTGAAATGTGGTTGGGGTACGACCGACAACCCGTCGGGCGAATTTCGCACTGGGGTACTCAAAATTTGAAGAATTTAAGACGTTTCCATGAGTTTTGAAGGTATGGATAAGTTCTAAAAATCCGGTTCTCCTTATCCGGGTCATTAACTCCATATGGTCCAGGAAAGCTGGCACACTACCTTTAAAAATAAATATTATCATGTTACCAGGTCACTGGCAAATCATTCCTCGCATAATCTATCAGCAAATGGGGAGTCCTTCTCAGCAGTGACGGACTCAGCCTAGAGTCACAGGAGTAGGCAGTCGCCAAAGGAGAGGTGGTGGGACATGAATGGTCCAGCGTCCAGTTCTCCTCCTGAGGCCAGTTTAACCCGCGCCCGGCTGGGGGTCCTGGATTTCCACGCCCTGCTGGGGGGGGGGGGTGTTTGAACACCCCCCCTTCTAACTCGGCTCCTGGGCCACGTAGCGATACGCGGAAGGCGGCGTTCGAAAGAGCGTCAAAAATAATGAGGAAATCACTTCAGTCAATTTTTTGGTCAGGTCAAAGGTCAGGTCACCAGAGGTCATTGAAGGCAAATTTTCGCCGATTTCCAGGTCGAATGTCGAAAATTTCCAAGAAGCCCACGCATAAGTCGGGAACCAATAGAGCTACAGCGCCGCGGAAAAGCGCATTCGATAGCCCTATTAACGCCCTTTCTGAGTAATTTTCTCAGATTTGACCTAACGTCAACGGTTTTGCCTGCAGGGGGCAAAAACTGCAAAAATAGCCGATTTTTTCGGAAACAGTTTTTCTGCAATAACTTTTGACCCAAGCATTGTACGAGCTTACTTTTACCGGCATCGTGTTCCTCTCGTCAAGACGCATCGAACGAACTATAATTTGACCTTGAAAGGTCAACTTGAAAATTTGACCTCAGGTCAAGGTCATGACCTGACCGGAAAGGGTCATGTTGCATATCAGTCGATCCGTATCGTCGAGCTGAACACATCTAAGGCGTTTTCATCGCTCTAGCATGCCTCTATCAAAAGTTATTTGCGAAAAACTGTTAGATACCATTCGTGACCTAAGATGACCTCAGGGCATAAACAGGGGTCACAGACACCATTTTCATGTTCAGTGTGTCTAAACCACTTGTAATTCAGTGTTTGGGAGTGTTTATAATGTCTTTCGTCCAAAACAGGCGCATTTCAATTTTCTCCCATTGACTTATAATGGTGAGGTCGCAAAATTGACCTGACCTTAGGTCATCGATATCAAAATTCTGAGATATACATTTTGTACATGCTAATGCTCTTAGCAATCGCTGAAAGTTTCAAAGCGATCGGTCACTCGGTGTAGCTATGACAGACATTACAACTTTTTATGAGGTGAGGTCACTTCGAGTGACCTGGTGACCTGACCTTGAATGACCTTGGTCTGAAATTTTCACAACATGTGTAGAATTGATGTATGATAAGGTGTACCAAAAACGGCGGCGTCGCGAAAAACCACAGGGGGGGTGTTCAAACACCCCCCCCCAGCAGGGCGCGGGTTAACCAACAGAAAAATAGCCGCCTGGCGCAATTTTTCTATAAAAAACGCCGACGAGTTTCACCATCCAGGCGAAAAAATATCCGCCGGCGTGAAAAAATATCAGCCAGAAAAATAGCCAACGAGTTTCACCAACGGCAAATGCGGCATTAACCTTCGCCCCAGTGGGGGGGGCATATGTTACCACCCTGTCGCGTTTTTTGCGTGTGAATAAAAAACCGCGGCGCGTAGCGCCGCGCCGCTTAGGGTAGCTTTTTGTACATCAATTTTGGACAAGGTGTAAAATTTTTGACCCCAGGTCATGTCAGGTCAGGTCACCAGGTCAAGTTAACTGAGCAAGCCTAAAAAAGTTTGCAATCATGTCCAGCCTGCAATGTTTGTCAGAAAGGTTTTAAACTTGGTGGATTGCATGATGTTATGGGCGCCTACAATTTGTATGTCTCGGATTTTTTATATCCGTGACCTAAGGTCAGAGGTCAGTGGCGTGACCTTACCATTAGGTATAAGTCAATGGAGAAAAATGAAAATGCCTCTAGATCCGTGTGTACGCATAGGAACAGTCCAAATATTTCAGAATCACAATGATTTGGACCACCTGTGACGACCAAGGTGTCTTTTTTGCTGATAGCCTCTACA